AAAAAAAATATATATATATATATATTTTTTTTTTTTTTTTCTTTGATAGGAAAAATTTCTAAATCAGCCTAACATTTATTGTTTTCACTTCACACAGGCGGCAGTAGTGATAAGCCAGGGATCTGCAAAGCACAAGCTTCAGTTTTTAATCGGTGACGTGGTTTTACCGTTTAATATGACGGTTTATCAGGCGGTCAGGCAGTTCGGATGTTCCGGAGTGGATCACTCTGAAGCGGAAGCCGACAGTGAACCGCCATTGGGGCACGATGCAGTGTGGGTGCAAACCCATACTATATATTACAGGTACTTTTGGGTGTTTCAATCGTATTGCGTAGTGGCAATAAAATTGGTGTTGCAATTCGAATGTATATGATGTAATTCGATCAGAGTTACATCGATAATTCCATCGTGCCGTTTCTTTATGTTCAGTTTGTGATCGATAATTCTTATAAACCACGATTTTCATGCGATTGTTCACGATCGGTGAAGAACTTTTATACTCTGGATATTTCTTCTGGATATAGACCTGTGCCAGAAGAAGATGCCGCGACTTCTCCAAAATCAGGGTCGAGTTCACAGGGTAGTAGCAGAAAAGGCAAAGGAAAAAGTACAAAAATAAGCTCGAAGAGGAAAGAGGATAGTCTCTGGCTGGAAGGCACGGTCCCACCTCAACGTTGTCCTCTCGCGCCATACCTGTCTCCCGCATTACCACCGTCAGTAACCATCACGGACGCTTCTCTCGACGGACTGTGCCTGCTGCGACTTTTACACGCTCTCAATCGCCATTGGGGCATACTGTTCCCACATTTGAAGAGCATGAGCTTACTGTCACCTCAGGACTTCATCAACAACAAAATCGCCGCAAAAGCAAGCAGACAGCTGCAGGATCCGCTGGTTATCATGACCGGGAATCTACCATCATGGCTACAACAGATTGCAACCGTTTGGTAAGTGAAAGATAAATTGGTTCATTTAATTAACGCAATTCGGGATGACCTAATCAATTATTCCCCTTTTCAGTCCTTTTCTTTTCCCGTTCGAGACGAGGCAACTACTTCTGTATGCGACGTCATTCGATCGAGACAGAGCCTTGCAGCGTCTTCTAGATTCCGCGCCTGAACTCTCAGGCTCGGATAGTCAGGAGCGTGTCACGCCACGCTTAGAACGAAGAAAGAGAACCATTTCGCGAACGGATATTCTAAAGCAAGCTGAACAAGTGATTCAGGACTTAGCATCCAGCAAGGCTCTGCTCGAAGTGCAATATGTAAACGAGGTTAGTGAATTGCGTCTACACGACTACTGTCGTCGTCAACGACGTAAGCTTACCGCAACGTGTTATCAGCACAGTAACATCATAATCGTGTATCACACAGGTCGGTACTGGCCTCGGGCCAACCTTGGAATTTTACGCTCTAGTCTCCAAAGAGCTGCAACGTGCCGACTTGGATTTGTGGCATGGCAGCTCTAACCCTACTGAGAATGGATATGTTAACCCGATGCACGGACTGTTTCCGGCGCCGATCCCGTGGAACACCAAGGTTTCTCATTTAGCGAAATTAAAAACCAAATTCAAATTCCTCGGGAAGTTCATGGCAAAAGCGATATACGACTCCAGAATGGTAAGAATTTTGCTTACACCTGTCCCCTCTTTGTAGAGAGTACATACTTTTAAAATGCTTCGTCTTCTTCCCCTCTCTTAGTTGGACTTGCCATTTAGTTTAACTTTCTATCGCTGGTTGTTGGGAGAGGAACACACGCTCACGTTAGCGGACTTGGCGTACGTGTGTCCTGATGTATATCGTACCCTCAGCAAGCTCCAGGACGTTGTCAGGCGAAAAGAAACCATGGAGAAGGACCAGACGCTACGACCGCACGAGAAAACGCAGCTGATAGAAGCGCTCGATTTAGACAATTGCCCGATTTCGGAGTTGGGTCTTGTGTTTGAATTGCCGGGCTACGAGAATATAGAGTTGAGAAAAGGTGGCAGTGAGATATCCGTCAATATTCATAATTTGGATCAATATATCAAGGTAATGCGTGCTGCTTTCTCTCTCTTTCCTCTTACGACTGTTTACCACCATCGGATGTGATTCTTGTGACTCCTGTAACATTTTAGTTGGTGGTACACTGGTTCTTACACGAGGGAGTATTCAGACAAATGGAAGCTTTTCGAGAAGGTTTCGAGTCGGTATTCCCTCCGTCACAATTGAGACTGTTCTTCCCGGAGGAGCTGGAAGCGGTCTTCTGCGGACACGCACAAACCGGCGGACAGTGGGACGTGAAGACCCTTGCCGAGTGCTGCAGGACTGATCACGGTTACACGCCTGATTCGCGCGCCATCCGGTTTCTGTTTGAAGTAATGTCCAAATACAACAGCGAAGAGCAACGACAGTTTATCCAGTTTGTCACCGGTTCGCCGCGTTTACCCGTCGGAGGTGAGTATTTGTATTCGCGTTTTCGCTTTCTCAGTCTATCTCATTTAATCGTTTGCTATCACGTCGCTCGCGTTGACGCGGCGGACATCGAGTTTTCACGTGGCTCCTATGCTTATTCCTTCGCAGGTTTCAAGAGCTTAACTCCACCCTTAACGATAGTACGCAAAACTTTCGATTCATCTATGAAAACGGATGATTTCCTACCATCCGTAATGACTTGCGTCAACTACCTGAAACTGCCTGATTATACCACCTTGGAAATAATGCGGGAGAAATTACGGATAGCCGCACAAGAGGGTCAGCACTCGTTCCACCTCTCCTAGAAACGGATGGAAAAGTCGGCGCACCTTCCTCACTATTCCCACGCTACCCCGATTGAGACCAATTATCCCAATCATTTAGAGCCCATGTGTGGAACCTGCTGTGTTTCGGCAAGCAAAACGACAAGACGATCATATTCTTTATACGGATTCTTTTGAAGATACTTTTTTCTTCACGTCTCGAGTGATCCATTGGAATAAAACTGTTTTTTTTCAGTGTTTATATCTTTACTTGAAGATTGGAATTATTATGTACTTTATTAGGAAGAAAGTGCAAAGATATTAAGCCGAACCGCGTGAGTTTACTCTCTTTCTCTATCTAACATAATCTCTCTGTCTCTATCTCTTTTTGTCTCTCGCGGTGCTACGAACCGGGTGCGATCTCGCGACCGACCTCATTTCAGAGAAAAAAAGGAAAAAAAAGAAAAAACTTATCTTCAGTGTGTGTTACAATAAAAGTGAAAAAAGATTGTAAATATAGTTTAATATACATAAGTCGATATAAATACTTTATATAATAGTAACGGAGAAACGATATTGCTATGAAAACGCTATACTAACTAAATGATATAGCCCGAGAGAGGACGTTTACTAGACATAAGTAAAAAATTTTATATCAGTGGTGCATTTACAAGCATCGCCACAACACGCAACACACAAAAGACACAGATAAAAAACACCACATACACGTACACATAATACAACAATCATCGCCAACTCGTCTCTCGTGTTCCCACGAGGCCACGAGAAACAAAAGCCACCCACGAGCTAAAATCAGTAAAGAAACGCGCGCGCGCGTGCCACAACGAAAGTGTGCGGGCGTGCCTCTCGTCGTCGGAAACAACGCCAATTCCAGACATAAAATAACGTTGTGTCTCTTGCTGCTGTTCTCTGATTTTTATAATCGATCTCTTTGTGTTCGCCGCTTAAGTTCCAGCGTCAGAGAGCACTGCGCGAATACACGCGCGTGTGTCGCGTAGCGCTTCCTATATATTTTTAAGTTTCAATCGATGTATCATCCCATTATTAATATTATTTGATTTCTATTCTAGATAAAGATAGTCCAATTATGTTACATTATGTAGTTGTTAGGAGTACAGCCAGATATCACACACAAACAAGAATTGCAAGGATGGAAATCGTCGTCATGACACGCGTGAAAAACAAATTGAGAGGGAAAATTCCGATATCCGCTTACTTACCAGGCAAATCGTTTCGTATTTATGAAAAAAAAAGAAAGAAAATGTAAGAGTATTGTATAATATGAAATAGAATGGTTATAAGATAAGTGAAGCTGGTGTATGGAATAAGTAATACGAGATACACATTACTTTCTTACGTCTCTGACTAGAGAAACGGAGGAATCTATATAACAAAAAAAAAAAACTGAGAGTGTGAGGCAATCGGATTTACTCGTAATCGTTCTTTTTTTTTTTTTTTTTTTTAATGTCAGATTCATCGTGTTCGTGTGCAAAAGAAAAGCTTTTTCAATTTTGTTGTTATATTCGCCGGAACAATTACTCGAAAAAAATCACTCGAAAAATGTTACTTTTTACTAGCGGAGCAAAAGTGCGATTGTAATTTACTTTATGTCAATATCAATAAAACGTAATGTCTGTATTTTTTAGACACACACCACACGCTGTATGTCGATATACGTTACATTACCATGACATTACGTTTTCTCATCTTAATGTGGACAATATGGATATATCTGTATAATTACTTTTCTTATATATACATATATCTCACTTTGTGACGACCTCGCGAGTGATAGTATCTTGCGTAAAGAAACAAGAGTAATCACCGACGCGCGGAACACGTGCAAGAAAACTTAGGTATGCAACATTATAAAGTGTGTAATGGTTCAGGATACGTGTGATCCAAACCTATGTCATTAATATTATAAACAAAAGTTATATTTATATCGATTCATTAGTATAAACAAGTTTTACTTTATTCAAATCAGAAGATATTGTTTCTTTTTTTGAAAGCCTTCAATAAATATAAACACTGTAAACTTGCTCACCATAGGAATATATCTCCTAGACACATTGAGTAAGAAGCATAATTCATTGAGAGTTATCACACAGACATACTATTTTCTACATGACATTTAAGACAATCTGAAACAATGTAGTTACTCAAATGATCCTGTAAACGATTATTTCCAAAATTTTCTTCAACATCTGTAAAAAGCACCGGTTAAAAATAACCTACAATTGTAGTTTGGTCTTTCGCTAGCAGATATCTTACCTTCTTATTGATACATACATTTCTTAAAGACACATACTGCACCATCCTAGTATAAAACAAAAGCCCCCAAATGGCGTTGTTCCCCTAAATCGTCGATCACCCGTGAACGCAATGTAATAGCCACTACCACAAAATAATAAAATTCCAGAAAGCATAAATGTAGCAGCCTACAACAAAAATAGATGAGATTAACAATCTCACGTTGAGATGTCAAGAAATGTTATATTCATACAATCAACTCAATTATCATATAATATGACAATTACAACAGGTAGATACAGTAACATTCAACATACCAAGACTGGAGTCCTACACAATGGTAGTCCCAACAGTGCCAAAGTATGTACAAAGTGATATTGATTAGCAATCTCAAAGATTCGACGTTGCTCCTGTCCTATTTCGTCTCTGGGATAATGTCCTAGAAAGAAAGTGGATAGATTATCTAAACCTCATGTTTATATAGATAATATGCTTACTATGAGTTCCAATAGCACCCAGAATCACAGCTGTTGCACCGCTCAAAGCAGCAAGCACCACATACGGTCCACTTGCAGCAGCTAATTTCCACAAAGGCATAGCCAAAGGCTTTGCCATTTCTGTTGAGCCTTTTGAATTCACCGTTATGTAATCTGACACCTGTAAGAAGTAGCAGATATCAAGCTCTGAAGAAATTTGAGCGCTGTAACAAATAGCGTGTGTTGTGTTCTTATGCTTAAAGCATATTCAATACCAGTAATCCTTAGTAAAAAAACAATTGTAATCTGAGGAATTTGTACAAGCAAGAAATTTGTTTTCTCATAGATTTATCATGATTTTTAAATATTCTATTCAAGCATATAATGTTAGAAATAATGAGCAGACAGATGAAGCACTCAAAGCTATTTACATAAATCTATAGTAGCAAAAAGTAATATAATACTACACTTATAGCATACGAACACACACGTGTTGATAAAAAACGAACGTGAGAAATTAATAAACGTCGACAGTCAATTGTTATAATATCACTACTCACATTTGATCGCAGTTAATTACATTTTAAATCGCTAACTCCACGATATAGAGACACTGCAACCATAGAGTCATACACGGTATAACGCAGCAGAATCTCGATAAATTTTCACCTTTCTTTTCTCTTCCTATAAATAACTATTTCTTATAAAGTACGGCAACACACTTCTCCTTACTTCTCCTTACTTGTCTTTATTTTTGCTAATATATTATTTAAATTTTCAATTTTCCACTCCAGACCAACTTGAAACGCCCACGAGACAACAATAGAGTCTGCCACTTTTGGGTAGAAATCCGCTTTCTGTGAATGTGCCTGTTGGATCTGGGAATAATTAAATAACGATGATTAAACACTTTTAATATCCTGTCAAATTTTTATTGTTTGTTACATAATTATATTTGCACAATTACATGCAATATACATAAATAGGACAAGAAAGATGTTCTCTTTTAATACTGAAACGAAGAAGTAAGGTTATCTGGCACAGTAGAAAGCTATTCATATTTAGCGGGTAAACGTCATATTAATTTTATTTATCTTAGGACCACCAGAGGGCATCAGAAGCAGTCATTGCGATTATTTTATGTGTGGCTCTTCTCATTTTGCCTTCAGAGCATTTCCGATTGCTTCGAACGCCTTCTTTCTCGATTTTCCCGTTGCAAGTAGCACGTGCAGAAACAAAAATGGGTTTCCAAAATATTTGGTATTCGCATCCACGAAAATACGGTCAAGGATCCAGATCCTGGTTAGTATAAATTCTGTTTTTTATTTCGCTTATGTATATTGACAGCAATTTTGTGCAACAAACGATATATTTGCAGTTGATCCGTAAACGCATTATCATAAATATTGCATTATACAAGGTTTGCCATAAAAATGTAATCTAAAGCGAAAGTTTCGGCTTTGTAAGATATAATTGTAGATACTTGCAACGCATAAATATTTGTAATTTATAAAAATGCTTATTCTAACCTCAAAAGTATACCAACCAAATGACGAGATAAACTCTGGCCCGTATTCTGAGTTCTCTTTTAACGATAAATGAACCTCTAAAAGTGACTCATAGCCAATCAGAAAACTTATGAGCCACTTTTAGAGAGTCATTTATGGTTAAGAGAGAAGTCAGAATATGGGCCTTTGTATTTGCTTTTCGTACTTTATCTCTTTCTCTTTATTTCATCAAACACATAAATTTTTTTTGTAACAATTATACACAAGACACTATTATGTGCAATTCATTAACCAATTACAAAAGCCACATAAATATGTATATCAAGTTGCATCGTTCTATGATATACTAATAATATCTTATATATGTTTATATTGGTAATTATGGGTTTAATAGTATATATGTTGTAGATGTTGATATATATGTTTATTTAAATGAACTTGATTTTATTGCAGCCGTGCCTGTGCGAACAAACATGGGCTTATCCGCAAGTACGGTCTGAATATTTGCAGACAATGTTTCAGAGAGTATGCAGCGGATATAGGTTTTAAGAAGGTAAATTTTGATATAAATTTCTTCAATATATCATGAAACAAGATATAAGATTTCGCAATTTTGTAATTTATTTCTTCTTCTGTTACAGTTGGACTAATACCATTATAAGCAATTTTACTTGGCGGGAATTACACAATTGTATTATCTTTCACACTCATTGTATAATGTGTCCAAAATATACATTTGTGTCACGTTATTATGTGTTTTGTACTTATTTATACTTATTTGTACTTATTTGTACTTATTTATATTCTATATATTTTATAGCAAATATATTTTCCCTATAGTCCTATTATACATGTGATACATTAGTATCTTAGTTTACTTATGCAGTACATAGAAATCTTTGTTTTTCAGTTTTGTTTATGCAAATAATTCTGCAAGAATTATGGGGGAGAATATGTAATATTGATAACAAATTCAAGAGCGAGCGAAAAGCAAGTCTTGCAGGTGAAAAGAATAGTACAAGAAAACAGGCATTTTTTAATAATAATGACATCTGTTTTCTGTTGGTAATATATGATGATTCTCGAAATTAAGATAAATTTGTCGGTTTATGTAACAAGCTTTAAAATAAAATGTTTTAATAGTTATAAGGTTTATATAACAAGCTTTAAAATAAAATGTTTCAATAGTTATAAGGTATTTCATATTTTATTGTGTGTATGTGTGTATATGTACAAGATTTTTTCATAAACAAGTGTATCTTATTGGTAATCTAATCCCACTTAAAAATTGAATCAATTCAAGGAAAGCTTAGATTTAACAGTGAATGAGAAACAATTCATACAAATCCGGAGAAATTTGAATGTCGTATACTATATAATTATAAGTAATTTTATATTATAATTATCCATATATAATTCTAGATTTTTAAATAACAGAAAGCAAATTTGTACAGTTTGATTTCCAAAGTCAGATTGACTATCCAAATACTTGCACATAATGAATCGAGTTAAACTCTCGATTTAATTATGTAAAACAGGTTCTTCAGTGAATAGCTCCCATTCCGATGTCTCACGTGGAGGACAATCGGTAAAGCGGGGATAAGTTACAGCGAACGGTACTTTCACATGACGTATCTCATTGCTCGAAAGTAAACACGCCTCGAACGCACAGTCGAAATCAGCTCTATCCTCGTTCGGATTATTATGTCTGCTGAAAAGGAACACGAAAAAGAGCAGAACAAGGTAAATAAACTACTATGGATTTATATAAATAGCTTTGAGTGCTTCATCTGTCTGTTCGCTACTTCCAACATTACATGCTTGAATAGAATATTTAGAATAGACGATATATAAAAGTTGTTGAAATCTCGCGAATTAATATAAAGAATTAAATCGACATAGTATATAATAACAAAGTAATTTTGCGCACTCAGAACGAGATCCGACCAGTCAATTAGACTCCACAGATCTTTTTAGGTCAACGACCTGTCGCAAGAAGCGAGATGTATCGCAAGAAAGCAATTCATGAGTTTGAAGGTGAAGACGATCCTGAAGGTTCTTCTGTCTTCCGTCGCGGGCCCACTCATCCTCTACGGTGTGCTTCTCGTGCATCAGCGTTACCAGACGCACACGAAACATCTGCCCGGGATAGAGGTCGAGGAGGATCGACCGAGGTTCTGGGTATACGCCAGACATAACGACACCGGCTACCTGACGCATGTGCGCGCTGTGTTGTCGCGACTCGGCTTTCGCGAGAGCGCCAACCAGTCCGGTTGGGATCTGTTGTGGGCCCACGATTATCCGTTCCGCAAGTTGGCCGCGAGTTTGCACAGACTGCAGCGGCATCAGCGTGTCAACCACTTTCCCGGTTGCGGCTACGTCACCAACAAGGTGGATCTATCGATGTCGCCCGGTCGTTACATACCGACGGCCTTCAGGATGCCCGACGATCGGGAGCGATTTCTCCGTCACGTGGCCGCGAACCCTGACAAGAAGTTCGTGCAGAAATCGAACGATCACCGAGGCATCCGCTTGGTCAGCAGCCATGACGCTAATCTCACCGCCGACGGCATCTTCGTACAGGAGTTCGTCGAGCGACCATATCTCGTGGACGGCTACAAGTTCGACATCGGCCTCTACATCGTCATCACGTCCGTGGATCCGCTGCGGCTCTACGTCTATCAGGGTGACGTGCTGTTCCGTTTCTGCCCGGTCGCGTATTATCCCTTCGATGCCGAGGTATATATTTACGGTTTTTTCACTGTACTGCGCCATTTAATATCATGAGCATGGAGATGAATTCGGATAGTTTCGTGTGTTACATCTAATCCTTTCTGCTTCAATTTTGCTGCCCCTTGACGCAGTGTTAAGTCAGGGTTCCGCGAAAATAAGTCCACTATCATTTTATCGTCTTTAGGGGACACTTTGTCTGCCAAGCCACGTCCAGGCAAGTCATCGACAGTTTTCGTCTCTTTGTATCGCTGAACCCACTTACTCACGAATGTTTTCGACTTCCCCATGTATTTAGCAGCCGCTGCATAAGACATTTTCGGACCTTTCGGGTGGGAACAGAGGAACACAGCTTCGTAGCGCGACGCGTACGCAACACTCATGGTGTTTTGGATATGTTTACCTGACAAAACTTCAATGTCAACTGAATCTTTCTTGACAATACATGAAGAGCAAAAGTTCCCTCTATTCACTCAAGAAAGAATTAGGACGATATCTTTTACCGACTGCTAGTTATACCGCACACGCTCTTACTTGACAGACTGGATTGATGTTGCGCTCTTCACGGATTTGTCTTCGACGATTCGCGAACATTTCAGTCATGGACGTAGGAATATCTGGACGGAGTGTAAAGTATTTTTATGAGCGCGTGGTGTGAAGTCAGCGCGGTAAGGGGAAATCTTCGTCGCGGCCATCTTTGGTGTCAAAAGTGACACATACACACACACACACACACATATATATATAATATTATATACAGGGTTAGCAAAAAGTCCGGAAACGGTCAAATATCTCGAAAAGGATCAACTGTAGCGAAAAATATGTAAGTAGCAAAGTTGTAGGGCTTAATAAAATGTACCTAATGATGGCTAAAAATTTGACTTTGGGTAGAGGACGAAGGTCATACGAAGGTCAAATTGAATTTTTTAAATTGGACCCTCACTTTTTATTACATATTCTTATAGCTTATTTCAAGGGCTTTCCAAAAACCTATAATAAAATATTTTTTATTAGGCATATTTAGAGTTATGAGGCTTGAAAGGATTTTGGTCTTTAACTGTTTCTGTTTCGTAAAAACGTATCACTGTCTTCTTCTGAACGGTGGATTCAGAAATAAAATTGCGATCAGGATATGCAGCATTGAATGTGTAGATTAGTTACTTCTTCGTATGATCTAATATGGTCTCCAAATTTTCGATAAAGAAACAGCATTATCGGTTAACATTTTTAAAAAAGAAATTTGAAATTGTAGTTGGAAAAAGAAAGGGAAGAGACAAAGAGTAAGATGCGAGAGAGCACGACTCGTTTTTAAAATACAAAGATCGAGAAGCGTTATCGTGAAGCGCGGGTATGCGCGAGTTTTGACTGAGTATATACTCAACCATAAAACCATAGCCATCTGTGTCTACATTAGGTTACGGATTTGGCGACAGATCTTGCTGTCGGGCAATTGGTGCCAAATTTACAGCAAAAACCGCGTAAAGCTTGCAGCAAGGTCTGCGCGGTTTCTGCCGCCAATCTGCCGTCAAATCACTACGAGCTCTGCGCGGTTTTTGCTGCAAATATGCAGCAATTATCTGACAACAAGCATATCTGGCAGTAATTTGGCAGCAAGATTTGATCCTGCATCAAATTTGTTATCTATTAGGTGCGCAACTAAGTTCCCGCTGTTTGTCAATAGATGGCTCCAGCAGTAAGTGCTGGTCGATTTTGACATATCCAAAACGTCATGAACCAAGCTTTACCATAGACATATGGTAAACAAACCGCTTTGACACGTTAGTGGTTTTGTTTTAACGTCATATAATTTTGGTTGTGTGAAAATGTCTGATTTTGTGCCAAATAATCGTCATTTGCAGGAAGTGTTGATTTTCTTATTTCATTCGAAGAAAATGGCGGCTGAAGCGCATCGAGAGCTCCAAAAAGTTTACGGAGATGCTGCTCTAAGTCGTCGTCTACAATAGCAGTAGGAGTAGTAGTAAAAAATAAGCAGTAAGTAAATTGACCAATTCCATTCTCACGATTCAAGAATAATCGATTGTGATTGGTCTATTTACTTACTGCTTATTTCTTACTACTACTCCTACTGCCATTGTAGACGACGCATAAGTGAAACAACGTGCCGTGATTGGTTTCGTCGCTTCAAAGACGGTGATTTCGATGTTGACGACCGTCCGCGTGAAGGAAGGCCAAAAACCTTCGAAGACGCTGAATTGGAGGCATTGCTCGATGAGGATCCGTGCCAAACGCAAGAACAGCTTGCTTCAGCATTAGGAGTTACCCGCCAAGCCATTTCCAAGCGATTGCATGCGTTGGGAATGATTCAAAAGCAAGGAACTTGGGTTCCTTATGATTTGAAGCCAAGGGACGTTGAGCGTCGTTTTTTCGCCTGTGAACAACTGCTCCAGCGGCAAAAAAGGAAGGGTTTTCTTCATCACATCGTGACGGGTGATGAAAAATGGATTCATTACAGCAATCCAAAGAAAAGAAAGTCATGGGGACTGCCCGGTCATGCTTCTACGTCGTCGGCTCGGCCGAATATTCACGCTGCGAAGGTTATGCTGTGTATTTGGTGGGACCAGGTCGGTGTTATTTATTATGAGCTGTTGAAACCGAACGAAACCATCACTGGGGAACGGTATCGAATTCAATTGATGCGATTGAGCCGAGCACTGCGCGAAAAACGGTCACAATACGAGCAGAGGCACGAAAAAGTGATTCTACTGCATGACAACGCTCGGCCTCATGTTGCCAAATCCGTTAAAACCTACTTAGAAACGCTTAAATGGGAAGTCCTACCCCACCCGCCATATTCCCCAGATATTGCGCCGTCCAATTATTACTTGTTCCGTTCGATGGCACATGTTCTGGCT